TCATCACATTTGAATAAAACTTGGTACATAAATGCTCTAGGACAATAGACAGCCTGATTAATTTTGGGTTAAAATCTGTTCATATTAATTCTCTTAATTAGCACAATAATTAATAATTTTTTGGTTCTAATCACATTTCAATGAAACTTGGTACATTGATATTACATTACGCAGATCTTATTACTTTTACATTGCGCAGACCTTATTAGTTTTACACTTAAATGTGTTCATATTAGTTACCTTATTTGCATAATTAGTTTTCTGCATTTCCATCAATATCTCAAGTTCAAGTAATTTTGAATTAATTTTTAATGTGTCTCCAATACTCTCAGCACACGGGAGTTCTTTCTAAGCTTTCTTTGATTAATTTTTTTTTTTATAATTGCTGTTTACACTGTGGATCTTAATGTCTATTTTGCATAATAATACACTTATGTAATGTAATACTATTAAAATGTTGTATTTGACATGTATGAAACCCAAACTTTATGTAAATTACATGGTATGCTTCATTTTAAACCAAACAATTTTTCGAGGTCTTCCTTTTACTTTGACAACCCAATATGTTGATTGGGATGTTTGTCTATTTAATTTATTAAACTGCCATTGCTATTGTGATCCTCCCTCCCCATGATGTGAGGGGCTGGTTTACACACTCTTAGTGTATTTTGTAGAAAATTTTCATACATTTAATGTTTGATTTCTATACAAAGTTGTCTTAAAAAATTATCCTACTGTAATTGCATTAGAAACGCATCAGAACCCAACATGTACTATTCTCGGTGTCTCCATGTTCAACGTTGAAATATTTACCAAGTATTGCATCATGAGAAAACTAGAAGACATCAAACAGAAACCACAATTTTTATAATGTATTACATGTTATATATCATTAAGTATAATTCAATTCAGAGAATGGTAAGACATAAACACTACCCTGATATTTCCATTTTCGCATAACCTTTGCAGCAAATCGATGTGCATTTCATATTGTCGAACGGCAGTGTGAAAAGTCTCATAATTTGCTGCTGAATTAAACATGAATATTTTCATTTGAGATTCTTCGATTTAGAGTTGTGCTTATAATAGAGGAAATACAGTATTGAAAAATGGTAAGACAACTGTGACATTAAAAGATATTTGAATTGCCAAGACCAAGGTTTAGTAAATTATAGTATACAAAATACATGTTTCTAACCGAAACCAGACTTTCAGAAAATCTTTTTTTTTGTATTTAATCTCTATATCTGTCCATTTTACGCAAGGGACCTCCTGAATATAGAAATAATCTAGATGGCAAAACATGAATTTTGTTAAAAAGTAATAAACCTGTACAGAAATGATGTTTGATTTTTTGTTTTATGTTTGTGCTGTCACTAAAAGAAAGTGTTTATCCCAGAGCCATCTACATACTACTGGTATTAAGTTTCATTGAAATCTGATAAGTACATGGTTTTCGAGATATGTCCAACAGCTCAAACATTGTCTAATACAAATGTACCGGTATATGCAAATTAGATAATTACTATGACTGGAGTAATCAGTATTCAATTCTACCTATGCCCAAGGTTCATTTAAATCGGGTATCAGTGGAGTTAAGACCAAGATTCAGACTTTCTGGGACAGCTTGGATAACTCTGTCAAGTTCGTCTCGGCAAAGGGTGGGAACGTGAATGTCAAGTAAGATTTATGAAGTCTTGCAACAAAGCACGTGGTTAAGTTCTGGTAGTCATTCTGATGTATATACACCCTGCAAACCGTTCTTTTCTCATTAAACTAACATACATACACACCAATACATGCACCATCACAAATAATAAAGCAGACAAAATGTTTCCAGTGTCACCAATAAAGCTGTATTTTTCACTTCAACAAGAGCATTATAATGATAAAGCAATAACCCTTTAAGAACCTCTGGAAATCAACATTTCATTACCCACAATAAGGCCCAGAAAATTCTAATTTTAGAACAAAAATATTCTCAAACTGATGCACAAAGCATTCGTTTTTACAACACTGCAATTATTAGATTTGTAAAAATGGTCTTTTTTATATATTTTTAGCAATTACTATGTTTTTACATTTACTGGTAAATAACCCATTCCCAGCAAGTTTCTTTTGGGCCTTTTACATTGCCAGGTGTGAAAACATATCTTGTTCTGAAAAAAAAAAAAAAAATGAAAACATATTTCAGAAAAATAATGGAAACCATTACCAATAAAACTCATTTTTAATTTTTCTAGAAATTGATAATTGTTTTCTGAATATAATTTTTCTATAATTTGCGTTATATATCTTGGACTTCCTCATTTTGGACCAATATTTTAGTTTAAACATTAACAAATGGTTACATCAGCTATGCTTTTGTTGGAGATTTCCCAGCAATACAAATTTCTAAACAAGATTGAATTCCATTTGATTGAAAATGTGGAGTACAGTAAACAGCACAGCAGAGTTTATTTTGACTGAATACATTAACCAAACTGCCCACACATTATTAGTGAGCATATTTTTGTCTAGTTTGGTGTTGAACATGAGATTCCAAAAATAAAAGCATAAATTGTAGCTTAATCTAACACGTTTACATCTTTAGTACATGTATATTTTGAGTCATCAGAATGAGACTGCAGTATAGTTCTCTCACAGCGTATTGTGGATCAGTTTCTTGACAAATTTCATAAAATGAAATTACGTCAGATATTCCAAATTCTCACTCGGATGACTTGCACATTTTGTGTAAATCAAATTTCCTAAAAGATAAAAACAGGTTAACACGTTTATATAAATCTTTTATGCTCTTAAATATTTATTACTAAACTCAAAGGGGCATCATTCTATGCATCTCACAAATGCCCCTTTCTGTTGGAGAGTGTATTTCACGAGTTGTATCCCGACTTGTCATATGACCAATGCCAAGTTTACAAAATAACTATTTTATCAAAGTTCTCTGAGAAAGCATGAAATACTATAAATGATCTGAGGTTTATCTGTTAGTGCTATTTATATGCAATTTGTAAACTGCCCCTTTACAGGCAAGCAAAGCGACAGTGTAAACACTGCCCTCTACAAATATGCAAAGTAACAATTTAAATGCTGCCCTCTATAGGTATGCAAAATAACAGGGTAAATGCTGCCCTCTACAAGCATGCAATTACTGTGGAATACTTTATTTTCGCTGGAATTAATTTTTGCTGAAAAAGCTTTTTGGGCGTTTTGTATGGAATTTATTTTCACTGATCTTTGATGAGTTGAATGTGAAATACAGGAAAAAAAGTATATTTGCTGGATTTTATTTTCACGGAATCATCCCTTCAGCGAAAATAGCGAAAATAAATTCCAAGCGAAAATAAAGTACTCTACAGTAGTAGTGTGTGCACACTGCCCTCTACAGGTAAGCAAAGTGACAGGGTTACCACAAAGCTACATGTTCATCAGTTTTCAGCAAAAGTGGAACTGCAGTTCAGCATGTTTAAAGAGAGAAAACATTACACTTAGTGCAAATACAACTTGTTTTGATTTAGATGTCCCCACAATTACAGTACATGAAAACTATGGTCCTTAGTACAAATCCTAAAATACTCAACAGACTTTTTGATGCAAGAGAGCGGGAATGGTGTCAACAAACTATTTTCAAGTTGTATCTAGTAATCTAACATTCACTTCCTGTATTAAAAAATACAAACAAAAATGTCCTACAATTCTATGAAGCAGTCCCAGGGATTGATAGATACCCCTTTAAAAAAAAGGCTTTAGGTCTTTACATGAGTAAAAATATAACAATTCTCAAATATTGTTGATGCTATAAGTATGCTGCAATAAAATAGACCTTATACATGACCCAATAAAGGTCACACATCGTTAATTAGAATTTCTAATATTAATCCTCTATCTTTGCAATGTTATAGCAGACGTAAACAAGATTCATATGAACAACTTACAACTTCCCTTGTATAGATAGCCACAACAATTTTGCAATAATAAAACAGGCTAATTTGCCATACTGTACCTGGACAAAAAATTAATTAGTCAAAAAGCAAGTGGCGCCAGGAGAAGCGAGATTGTTACAACATGTAGCAAATTGTTTTCGTAATTTTGAATATTTGATAGCCCCAATAAGAAGGTCCCTTGCTATATTACAATTTTACAGAGTACTTTCCTAGGATGTTTGCCAGTTCCCGTATTAATCTTGTTTGCACCTGCTGTAAACCATTTTTGAACAACAGCATTTCATTGCATTTATTGTAACGTACCCCCAAAAGTACCAGGATGTGTGACCTTTTAAAGGTCATGCATAAGCAAATTACTGGGAGTGCAATTTATTTATTTGTACAAATTACACAACCTTGAAAGCACCAGAATGACATTGGTGCATAAAATACTGATAAATTCAACATTAAATGCCCTTGCATATTTACCAACTGGCAAGTAAAATGAGCAAAATGGCAAAGGACAATTTGTATCAAGCAGACCAAAATACCATGTTGCTAAAAAAAAATTCAATTTCATTTTAAGTTTAAATTTCAGTTTCCAAAACTGAACCAAAATAAATGATTACCGGTTACAAACAATAGCCAGTCAGTTATAAATTTATTTTCTTACTTTCAGAGACTATATTTGTGTATAAGTGATAACATTTATTTCAGGAGACCAATTAATAATAATAGGTTACTCAGAAAAAATACATGTTAGTGCATTTCACCAAATGTTGCACGATATCCTGGAAAATGAATATTGTATTAGCTATATTAGGTACACACATCAATAACTTGGGTGTGTTCATGTCAGAATTGCGTTTTATGACATATTCTTTTTTCATATTTGTATGCTTTTCAATCATTTGATTCACACAAAATAAGAATGATTTTTGATAAAAATTGTTGATGTAAATGATAACCACAAGATGAAAAAGACATTCATTTACATGGTTCTGTTAGAAACATTCAAAGGTTGATGGTGAAATGAATCCCATTTTCTGCTTAGAGATGTGCCTAACAGAGCAAAGACAACAGAGTATATTTATTTTAATTTCAACTTCACCAAACCTATTTTCATTGTGATCCATGAAACTAGAGTGAATTTTAGACACTTTTCTTTTTTTTAATAGCAAATAAAATCTGCATACTTTGGAATATTACCGAAATGTTATATTTAAAAACTGACTTTGATATCACTGATAAATAACATCACGTTTATATGCACGTGTATAAAAAATATACACACTTGAGTAGTATTCCCCCTTGAAAATGGCAAAAATAATATTAATCTATTTTTGAAAGGCAATTAATTTATCGAGATAACAAAATGGATTCTTCCGCTGTCAACATGCAACCACAGAATTCACATCCTAAATGTTAGAATCTAATAACGTGACACAGAAACATGCGTACAGTTTTGATATTATAAATATAGAAATCAAGGGTTATTGGATTAGACATTCAGAGCACCTGATCAAATTACAAGCAGATAATTTCTCTATTTTATACTACTGTAATTTAGTATGAGGTTGTCCAGCATAGATGCTAGCTACTAAACTAACATCTGATCAATTTCACTTACACTGACATTGACAAAAAGTAATACTAAATTTCAAAAAAAAAAAGTATCTCATGAAATGCGTTTGCTCTTCTTTGAAGAAAATCTCTTACAGAAAAAAGTGCCAATAAACTATAAATTGTATTTGTTGTATGTTGGATTATTAAAATATGACTACTAAGATCACGCCTATGTCATTTACGTATATGCTGCTAATAGACCAAATACAGTAATTTCATTAGTTTGTATGTTTTTTAGTCTTTTGCTTGATCAGTCTGCATCTATGGTTCAAACACACACAAGTATACATTTGGTAAGTGAATCGGGATGTACAACCACATATTAAAGTACGATGAACGGGCACCTTCTTAAATAAGCACATACCTAAGAAGCAATTTATATCTTCTTCGGTAAACTTAACAAATAAAAATTTACATAATATACAACTTTTTTTTTTCATGGTGAAATAGGCCTTATGTCTGACCTAAAGGTCACACATCCTGGTACTTTCAGACCTAAAGATCACACATCTTAAAACTTACTTTATAAGAGTAATAATTTAATTTAAATTTAATTTTTTATTTTAACCTGAAGAAAAACTGGATGTATGAGGGGAGGGGGTAAAAATGAAAAATTCTCATCGACAGTGAATATGTGCCCCCCAGAAAGTACCAGGATGTGCGACCTTTTAAAGGTCACGCATAAGGCAACATTGATGAATTATTACAACTTTCTAATAAGTAGCATATTTAGTACTTAAAAAAATACAAGAAAAAGAATACAATTATCAACTAACATCTCCATTATATACAGCCCTGATATCCAAATGTCAAAAAATGTGAAAAATAGAACCAGTGGACAGTCTGTTTTATAAACATGACTTTAAATCACTGGTTTCAAGTACATAAAAGGACAGTCAAATGAAATCACCACAAATTGTCACTAAATTAAACAAGCTATTCTGTATAACTAACTAACCGTGGCACGCTAATTTAACCCGTTGAACGCCAGAATTTATTTCACCGAAACTCTGATGAAACATTTTGTTGATTTTTAGGTATTTTTTGGTAATCTTGTTGATAGTCTTAGACCAAATAGACGCAATTTCCTACTGTCTACAGGTATTAATCAAAATTTTGGAAACAAATATGGAAAAAAAAAGAAAAAGATGCAGGTTTTAATTTAAGACAATGACAAAAGTTAACATTGGCGCTTAAAAGGTTAAAAGACAAATTGAAAAACTTTTCTAAATGTACGTGAAATACACTTGTATCTTTCCCTGAAGGACACTTCAAATACAATCTTCTGTCTATAGTAAGTTTTAGTGAATACAGTAGTGAGTTTCTTGCCACTTTAATACAAATTAATAATTATTTTATTTCACTTATCCGTTATGTTTAGTCTGATTTATCATGCAAAGTGAAATCCATCGTTTCATTACCATGTTTTTAAATCATGAAAAATAAGAAAAAAAGATATATTGCAATAGTCACAAAGTTATTTCAAAATACTATTATTCTAGTATATATACTAAAAGACTTTATACCTTTTTTATGGTAAATATTATGAATTTAGTAAATTTCAGAAGAAAAAAAAATCAAAAACATTGTCCTCTTGACTTGCTTCACTTGGGCTATTTAGCCCCAGCAGCGATTGGTTGATCGTGTTCCATTTCAGCAAGTTTTTTTAATTGTTCCGCCTGTAGCTGATCAAAACAGGTGCAGCACACACGCACTGGGTCGAAGAGTTGTTCCTTTGGAATAGGTGTTTTGTAATCTGAACATTTGGCACAGAAAATGTGGCCACAGTTCCTGAAAAATGAATATGAA